AGACATTAAATCTTGTGGTACAAATTTCATTTAATATTATTACAAAAATTAGCTACTTTATAGTATATTAATGAAAGATTATCATCTTTGGTTTAAGATTCTCCTTAAACACATAAAGATATTTTGTTCCATCTAAAATAAAAAGGATAGTTCAAATGCGAATAATATTTCTAAAATTAATTTAAAGAATTAAAAAATAATCATAAAACATTTGTTAGAAATTATCAATACATTTCGCAGTGAGGTTACTACAAGAGCAAATAATTGTTACACCAAATAAAGCTTTTTGTAAACTTCTAGTTTCTTAAAATGATGATAACCATATTTGAGAGAGTAGAAGTTTTAAATGTTAAAATCCAAAATTCCTTATTACTTTTACAAAATGTTAAATATAAAATAGAGATACTGATCAAAATTCTAGATGCAATAAGACAAGACAGGCGCGTACGCAGCGGGGGGGGCAGGGGGACAAATCCCCCCCCCCCCCCAAAGCCAAAAAATGTAGATGCCGGATTATATTTTTCAAAAATATTATTGTTAATATTAATTTATATTTGTTAATATTTATTCTTAATATTATATATATTTAATTACATTTATTTATCACATTCATCTACTAAGTTATTTTATCAATCAATTTCGATTTCAAGTTTTCCTTGGCGTAATTTACCTATTATTTTCAAATTTTAGTGGCGTAATATTTATCTAAATTTCTAATAAAATAATAATTATCTCTGAAACTCCTTGTCCAACAGGGAGAAAAAAATTGCAAGCTTGTCCAACGAGATCGAGTCTCCGCCACAGTAACAGCTATTTTGGAGTTAGAAGAGCTGATTATTAATGCTATTACTGAAATACCACAATGGCTTGAAAGAAATATTTCCTCAGAAGCAAGAAAATTATTGGATTCAATACTTATTCCAAATTTTTTTTCTCATTAGAATGTATTATTTAATTATACAAATATTTTATGTAATACTTTTCAAAAACATAACATTGTTTATTAGAACTCAAGGAAATAGAGCTAGTGTTGTTGAAGAATTTCATATTTTATATGTTATTGTTGAGTCAAAAGCAGAGCTATACGTGTTAAATATTTGTCCCCCTCGACTTGCAGCAAGCAAGCTCATCATCAAAACATTAATATAGGATCAGTAGAAGAGTATTATAAAACAAATGTCCCCTCTCCCAACCTTTTTCATATGGTGATAGAAAAAAAATATAAATATTTGTTATATTTTTATCATGAAGATGTTAAAATATCTTATGATGCCTTATTAGCTGAATAACTATGATTAAAAGATTAACTATGGTTGATACAGTCCCAAAAAATGCTATACATGCATTTTATTTCAAACACATTTTAGATTATACTCCCAATTATTAAAATGGTTATATATATATTAGCAGCTCTTTAGTAAACTAATGAGAGAACATTCACTTTTTTAAGAAGAATAACAGAGCCTTGCAGAGGTACCATTTGCAGGACCAGGCCCAGATTTTTTTTAAAAATTTTTTCCGGCCCGGGTTTTTTTTAAAAAAATTTTCAGGCCCGGCCCGGCTAGCCCAGCCCGAATTTTTTAAAATAAATTATATTTATTTTTGATATTTATAGCTAATAATGGCGATTTCAAATATTTGGTTTTAAAATATACAACTCGGCTCGGATATTTTTTCTTAAAAAATTTTCAGGCCCAGCCCGGGTGTTTTTTTTAAAAAAAATTACGAGCCCGGCCCGGGTATATTTAAAAAAATTAAAATTCGGGGGCCGGGCCTGCAAGTCTGTGAAAAACATACCTATGAAATACAACATCTGAAAGTAGATTGAAGGATTTGGATCTTTTGAATATTCATAGACATTTAACGCCAAGCAAGGATTGATAATTGAAAAATTAGCTCAAAACATACAAAATACAATTATTCCTAAGAAACTTTTTGTGTATTAATTTATATTTACAACATTTAAATTTTTTATACTTTATATATTTTAAAAGCTCAAAAAATTCAAATTTCAATTTTGGGTCATTTAGGTGATTCATATCGTGGGTTATATTCACTTTATATTTTATGATTCACTTTTAAATGCCAGTTTATATATATAATTTTTTTAATTCACATTAGTTTAAAATTGTGTATTAGAAAAAGTTATTAATCCTAATAAATTTATGCTTAGTATTTTTAATTAAAAATATTATTTCTTAAAAAAATTTATTATTCCCCCCCCCCCCCAGACCAAATTCCTGCGTACGCGCCTGAGACAAGATGATAGTTTCGATAAATTTGAAAAGTTTATTTCAAAGGAATCAAGAGCCTGCTTTATTGCAAAACACCTTTAAGATTGTTCTAATTATCATACCATCATTTCGGAACAGTTATGGAATATTATAGACAAATTTATGAGAAATTTAGATCATAAAATTGCAAGAATAAAAAATCGTTTAAATAAACCAGTAAAGGATCATTTACTTAATATGGAGCAATTTGCGATTCAAAAATGGAATTCAGCGTTGTTTCTGTGGAATTGATTTAGAAATGGTGTTTTGAACTACTCAAAGTTTGGAAAATATACATTAAGCTCTTAAGAGGGCGTCATACCTATATTAAAAACAATAAAGTAAGAAAGAATTTATTTTTAATATTTTCAGAGTATGTAAAATTTATTAAAATCAATCCACATTATCTCGATCTATCCTATATTTACATTCATATTACCATATATTTAATTATAATCTTTAACTATGTACAATTGGAGATCTCAATTCGATATGTCAACACATCTCATTTGTTTCTTATATTAAATAACGTTGACATTATTTTATTTGGTAACACACATGTAAAAACAAGTCTTAATTTCCCAATTCCAATCTTTTACTCATAAAAATTCCCAAATTATAGACCAGTGTTTAGATTTCATATTTATCTTATATTTATAGATCATTGTTCGATATGTCGACACAACTCTAACATCCCTGCCATTAATATTCATTATGTAAGATAATTTATGGGTCAGTGATCTGATTATGTAAGATAAATTAATTTTAAAAAGTCTAGATATACAATTTTAATGTTGTCTAATATGGCACTTGGAGATCTTTGAGATACCCTTGAACACGTGCTATTTTAACATTTATTAATATAGATTTGATGACAAATTTATAAGTTATTATTATGTAATAATTGAATTTTTATAAATATGTGTCCGAAGAAGATGTCATATATCGTCCAAGTTTAATAATTTAATTGCCTCAGGGAATAATATTTTATATTATAAGATATTATTAAATAGTCAATTTACTTTAAGACGATTGATTTTAATAATATTAATTTACTTATTTTTATTTTACTTTGATTTTTCGTTAACGTTTCGATATCTGAATATTTTTTTAAAAATAATTTGCCAAATTTATTGCACCACACCGTAAAATTGATGCATGTTTAATCCCATCCCAAGCTACTGGAAGACCTGAAAACCAAGGTATAGGGCTGATACCATCGAATCTTCTGTTGCTTATGCAAAATGATTAGTCCCTAGAGTATTTGGGATGCTGACCCTTTTAAGTGCTTTTGAAATTAAATTATTTATGTTTGTATGCCGTGGGAAGCAGCCTTTGGAATATTTACAATCAGATGGTGTCCTTTGTATCATATGGTTAAGGCTAATCAAATTTTTATTTTAATTGTATAAAAATAGAAAATAAATGTTTGCAATTTGAATTTTATATAGAAAACCTCATTTTTTATTTCTCTTTAAGTTTATTATATTATAAAAACTAAATAATATTTAATATATTTTGATTTTGTGAATGATATAATATAATAAATGATAATAATATTTATGGTAAAATATGTTTCTTCCTATTTCATTTTTATTTATAAAAATATTCATTATCTTAAATTAAATTCGTTTGCTTATTCTTTATTAACATTTTAGTCGTTGCTATTTCATCGTAGAATTATATACGATTTAGGACGTGTTAGTCCTAAAATCGATCGTTCTGCAGAAGAAGCAATTACAGGAATTGTTAATAGCATTATAATAAATTTTATATACTCAAGCAATCGAAATAATTTCTTTCTTATCATGTTCTAATATGGTTATGACGTCCTCTAGTTTAAAGTATATTTTTCCAACTTTGAGTAGTAAAAACACATCTCTTTTAAGAATTAAAGGAACCATTTCAAAATCATATCTATACTGAAACATGATTCCCTACAAGTTTTAAATCCCAACTGCATATTGATTAAATGATCCATAAAACGATTTTTCATTCTTGCGATTGTATCATCTACATTTCATAATAAATTAGTTTATAATATTCATTAACTGACATGAAATGATGGTATGATACATTCATGCATTTTTCGAATCTTGAAGGCGTTTTTTATTCTGTCGTTTATAAACTTTTGTCTTTAACTTCTCTTCAAAGCTTAAAATGCATTTTGAGTTACTAATAAAAGTTGCATGATTATATCATAATTAGTTTCTATCTATTTTAGCAATATTACTCGCATTGGTCTTAAAGAAGTTTAACTATCATTTCATTTAAAAGATAGTGTTTTTTGTCCTTTTTTTCCTTAAGATTTTTCCTTTAGGTTTTTACCGGCAGTTTTTTCGGTCGAGTTTTTTTTTCCCAACAAGCTTTTTTCCCGGAATTCATACAAAATGCCTATTATAAAATGCTCAAAAATGAATACTGATATTTTAAATAATTATCATAGGCAAATAAATTTGATAATTTAAATGTAATTGAGTTCTTTTCCATCGTTTTTTACAATTAAAAATAACTTGCAAATGAAAAAACATTCATTAAAGCGCGATTATTAACTAATAATGGGTATTTACTTCACGTTACACCAGCCATGGCTAAGCAAATATAAAAACAATTAAATATATTAGACATTCGATTTCTTTTAGAGGTTTTACAAAATATAAAAATTGAGCAAAAATATAGACGCTTGGAAATATTTTTTTAAAAATAAATTTTTAATTAAAATTTTACATCTCGATGTCATCTTCTCGCTCCCTTTTAGGAGTTACGCGTAAAGCCCCTACTTTTATGTCATGAGCTCTGTATTCAACTCTCCATGGATCTATATAAAAATATCCGTTGTTTGGAACGTCGTGAGCTATGGGGTAAAATTTTGGAACGAATTTGCCCTTTTCTTCTCTGAAATTCATATTTATTCGTAATTTTAATTATGTTTATCGTATTTTCTCTACGTCACTTAAAAAAATCTTATATATCGTTAGCCCTCCTATTTATATATAATATAAATATTTATTTACTTATAACCCATCAAATCAATGTCGACATTTTCAACATCAGGAAGACTTAATGGTTCCCATTGCATTATGTAAGGACCTTCCGGTGTATGAGTCCAGTTTAGCATGTTTCGCCTATTTATGGCTGGTTTGATATTTTCAGGGCTGACTTAAATGTAATTTATATTTATTATACAAAAGTAAGATTTTATAGATCTGATTTGACTTAGATTCTTCTCCAAAACTACCTTCAACCTTAACATGACAGGGGAGTGGCAACATATCCGGGCAGCTAATGATTACTTAAAAGGTTCAATGTGGTCTGGATTAAGAATATGATCAACATCCATCGACAGGGTGTAAATGTCATGTAAAGTGGGTGATATGTGGAAATGCATCCAATTTAGAAACCCAAATAGAGACGGGGTACAGCCCAAAGTATTCCGTGTACATCTTTAACCTACTAATACAAAATGAAGGATGGGAAACAAATGACCAAACTTCGTGAAAGGAGACATACAATGGCTTTAAACAGCCTGACATTTTGAAGAAACTGGTCTAGCAATGATATATTATGTGTTGCCAAGTTGAATACAGGGAGCATGACGGGAAGAAGAAGTTTTGAGATATGTGGTCTATTCTAACAAATATAATCTAATGTTGAAAGAAAAATTTTACGCAAGCTGTATGAGAAGTTGTATAGTTTATGGTGGAACATGGGTAATGTAAGTGATATTAAATGGATTTGTGTGGTATTTTTAGGAGAGAGAAACAAGAAAGGAATAGCGAGTAAGGATTAAAATAGAAGCAATTAGAGTGATAATGAAAAGAAATAAGCGAAGGTGGCTTGGGCATGCTGAACGAAAGATAACAATAATTGGGTAAAGAGATGCATCTTGATGGAAGTATGGGGAACAAGTCTAGGAAGACCTAAGACGGCATAGATAAAAGTGATAATAGATGTTATGAGAAAAATGGATCTCACTAATAGCAATGCCCATGACCGTATAAATGGAGAAGGGGATTAGAAAGGAGGCTGGCTTCCATGAATAAACCTGGAAAACCGCCATTAAATGAAGAAGAAAAAGATTTGACTGTTATAAAAATATATACAAAAGATGAGAAGGGCTTAGAATATATTAAAAGTTTGTGACTTGTTAGCCTGCTATTAAAATATTAATGTGTGAATATAAATAAATGTAAAACATACTTTGTCACTCAAGAATAAAACAAATATGTAAAAATAAAAACTCGAATTGTAAATTCCGTAAAATGGGAAAGTTTGTCCATTATCTATAGACAAAAATATAGGAATTTGTCCAGCCCCGGGAAACGAGGTAGTTATACAGGATACGGTGTCGGTCTCTTCGTCAAGTTTCGCATCGACTACTTCGTTTCCCATCATACATTTAATTTGATTGGATTTGTCTCCTTCGTCCTGCATTTTATTATTATCCGATTGATCGGCTCTCTTACTGGTCTTCACTTTGGGTTTATTAAAACATGGGCCCGTTATTTTAATAACATTTCCGCCCAACATACTACCTTGAGCAGGTTGTAATACGAGAGTCCCTAAATGTGACATATATTTTTTCATTAAAAAATATGGAAAGTAAAAATGAGATCACATTATTTAGGTGGTCGCTTTCTCCTAGTTTTCTGGTCTAAATCAATATAAAATTAAATTTATAAAATTTAAAAGGATGTTTAATTTAACAAGAATGAATCAAATACTTTTTTACTTTTTTTACTACGAAAAACTCAAATCTAATATTTTAAAGATTTCTTTCAATAAGAATATTTTTCACGAAATATCCCCCCAAAATACTACCTTTCGTATTGCAACCGCCGTTAATGATTTTATTGTCGTCGACTTTGAATATCCAATTTCCAGGTGTTTTAACATTGCTTGATTTACTGATATCTAATATCTTCTCGGTCCTCGAACCTGGTAAAGCAAAATATTTTTTCCCATCACCGGCATTAAAACCCGCCTTTATTTATTATTGCAGTTTTATTATAATTTTATAAATATTTATGAATTATTTAAAAAATATTTTAATTAAGAGAAACCCTAATTAAATTAAAGATATTTTAAAAAATTTACAAACATAAAAAAAAATGTTTGACTTATACCATAGCAGGTCTTCCTCCCAAACCTAAAGAATTACCAGCACTCGCCGTTCCCGTAGTCCATAAAAGTTGAGGATAATTGAAAATTACGAATGAATGTCTGCCATTAGTTACTAGAGAAGCTTGAAATGTATTAGTCTTTAACAAAAAGTTTATAAATTAAAAAGAGGTAAACCATGCACTCCCTCTCCCCTCCCCTATCAAAATTTATTTATCCGCGATTTTAGCTAAACCGCTAAATTTTTAAAAACGATTGATTCGGGCAAATTTAAATTATACTAATTATATAAATATGCCACATGATATATTATTTAGGCAAGTATTTTTCAAATTTGATCTATCCATGGGAACCCGCACGAGAGTGAAAGATCGTGATTCAGAAATCCAATTTTAAAAATTTATAACCTAATTAAGCTAATATTAATTAAAACAAATGGTGGCTAATCATAAATAGCACAAATGATGGAGAATCACAAATGGCGGTGAATCACGAATGATGGTGCATAAATGCGACGAATCACAAATAGCGGCGAATTTGGAATGGACGAGAATAAAAAATAGTGGTGATTCACAAATGATCATAAAAGAAAGATGGTAGTGAATCAATCATAAACGACGATGAATCACAAATGGTTGTAAATATTAAAAGGTGAATTATAATTGATGAGTTTAAAACGTGACAAATCACTAATGGTAGTAAAAAAAATAATGCGAAAATTTTATTTTTAAATATTACGAACAAATGCAAAAAATATTTTATGTTAAATTTAAAATTAATTATAAATGATTTTTCCTATAAAAGATACGCGACTTAAATATAGAATTAAATTAAAATAACATAGCAAACATTACTTTAATACAATAGAAAAATATGATAAAAATAAAGAATAGTGCAAAAATACCATAATAACGTTGCTAAAAAATATAATATGAAAAAAAAATATAAGCAAAAGTAAAAGAATTTGTTTTCTATATTAAGCAAGGATATCCTGATAAACAATATTAGGGTTAAAAACAAATTATTATCTAAAGTTTTACCCTGATTAAGCGCGGTATTATCAAAATCTCGGTGTTTTATTGTGAGGAACATCGAGATATAAAAAAAGGGTCAGACAAATATAAACCAACATGGGTAAATATTTTACCTTGAATTTTATTTAGAATAATAACCAAAGCCTGTATTATACAAAATGACTAATTATCTTTATTAAATTCCTAATATATGAAATGATGCACAATAGTGAAATAATATCATAACAAGCTATAATTAAGTAAATGAATAATTAATTTTATTCCATCAAAAAAGAATCGGAAACTGCTGTAGTTAGATCGAATTATGTTAACTGCTATAATATGTAATTGCGTTTGCGTATCGCTAGGAAATAAATCAATCCTAGGTAAAAAAAAAACAAACTCCGTAACCTTTGTTAGAACCTGTGATAATCTCAGCATATATAAAATGTTCATACAATTTTTTGACAATTAGGCATGGTCAAATTGAAACTTTTTAGGGTTCAGATTTCGTATTATCATTACGATCAAACTTAATAAGGCATGGATGAAGAAGTTTGGGAATGCAAAATTCAGCACAAGTATAAAGTGGAAATGCCAAAAAAATATTATGAAATAAACACCCTTTTAAAAAGTAAAACTGTTGTGAATAATATGTTTATATTATTTAATTGACTCAATTATTTTGTTTAACGAAACATTATATTTGTTAAAGGCTATTAATTTTATTTTCCTTATTTTAATTTTATTATTCAAATACTTTTAATTAATTTACTTAAAAATACCAGAGAGATGTACTATTTGCGAGGCCAGAATTTTTTTCAAAATTCGGCCCGGTTTGGGCTTTTTTGAAAAATATTTTCAGGCTCGGCTAGGCTTTTATTTTTTAAAAAATTTTCAGGCCTGGCCTGGATTTTTTAAAAATATATTATATTTATTTTTGATTTTTATAACTAATAATGGCGCTTTCAAATATTTTTTTAAAAAAAATTTAGGCTACAGCCCGGGTATTTTTTAAAAAAAATTTTCAAGCCTGCCCGGATATATTTTGGGCTGGGCTTCGGGCCAAGTCTTCAAGTCTCTGATTATATATCTTTATTTTAAATTAATTTTTAGTTCATCACTAGAAAAAAGTGGAGAACTATAGGGTAACCGCTTTGCGCTTCCACCAATTGAAATTTGGAGGAATTGAAATAAGAATTGAGCAATCAATGGATAATTTATTTCAAACATATTTAAAAATAATCATCATAAATATAAATCTCTACATAATATAGTATTTATTAAATTTAAATTAACTTCTTGAAGATTATACAAAATCCAATACTATAAAATAAAAAAATTCCTCAAAATAGTGCCTACCTAACCTCTGCTGGTAAGGGGTTAGCTACCCATGGCACCATGTCTAGTCAGTCTGCAGCAGATCCTATCTAAAAAAAAATATATAAAATAAAAATGCTGGCTTCCTTCGTAAAATGTAATGTACCTACCAAATATTAAATATATATTACTTTATTATTTTATAATATTTTGTTTACCATTTAATTAAATATGCATTATGATATTTTTATTTTATCATATTTACCACCTAGGCAGAGGCTCGAGCCCCCTAAAAAATTTGAATAGTCCCCTAAAAAAAAAATCTTTTTAATGGCTCATTAACATTCCTTTGAACTAAAAATAAATTATAATTGCCCTGAACGATTTCTTTTATAATTTTATTAAGTATATAGATTTAAATTTATTATTTAAAAATTAATAAACCATCTAAATTTTTATTAAATGAATACTATTTTAATTATTAGATTAGATTAATACATATAAATTATATTTTTCACTATGTCAGCTTGCAATCTAACTCTGTATTAAAAATAGAATATCAATATCACTCACTAAATATTAATTTTGCAATAACAGTTGAAGCTAAATTGACTTTTAATTATTATATAACCGTAATTAAATTTATATATTATTAAATGAAAATTAACAAATTTAATATTGTAATTAGCTAAGTTCAAAATCACTAATCTATATTATTCATTTTTAAATTTAATTACATCTTCCTATAAATATTTTTAAGGTCCAAATTAATGTTGTTAAACGGCTCATTTTGAGCCGATTTTTTAAAACGGCTAACTCAATATTGTAGCCAGAATAATATTACCTAAGCCTCGAGATTTCAATGATATATGTTTAAACCTTTGTTCCTTCTATGCGCAAAAGGCTTCAATATATTTGCATAATTTTTTCTAATTATTTATAGTGTTTTTATTTTATCAATTATCTAACAGAATAATTGTGATATGAGGTAACATCGTGGGTGTCATGGCTATGACTGCAAATTAACCAGCATCTATTATTTGTGAGCTATGTAATTTAAGATTATTACTATCGCTGTTGAGAGCATATTTTAGATAAGCAATAATGTCAACTGTGTAGGCGTACTAAAACTGTTGAAAGCATACTTTAGATAAGCAATAATGGTCAACTGTGTAGTCGTTTATAAATCATTAAAAATGGAAGATAATCTTTTAGAAATATAATATCTAGCAATAATTTTCTCGATTACTTAACTAGCTTCCATCATGTTATCTAAAAGGAAGCTCTAACCATCATATAGTTTTATGATTTGGATTGGTCGTTTATATTCTCTTCTTCAAGAATTGTAAATTTGGTTAAGCCTATAAATTTTTCCTTATTGGTCCATTCTATAAAACATTTTGTAAAATGGTAACAGATATGTTTCATGGCCTTTTGTCAATGTAAGTTGCTAAGAATTATATTGCCTTATGTGGCTTTTAAAAACCAATATCATTTGTTTCATATGTATCAATTAATTTACCTTTTTTTATTACTTGTAATTCTTTAGACGCTAAAATTTTTTATATCAGTGAAAATATTTCATACTGTAATAAATAGAATTTGTATTTTAAATACTATATTTAGAAATATTTTGTACTGCTTTAATTATTTATATACTAGTTTATTTTGTATGCATAATATGATAAATGACAAATTATGAAATTCAGAATAATTGTTCCAAGTTAGTAAATCTTAAAAATGCATTATATATTAATGGCTGTAGGTCCGCAAATTAGGGGGGTATGGGGCTTCGCCTCCCCCCCCCCAAAATGTTTTTTAGTTGAGCCCCCTGAGATTGTAAAAACTAGCGACGCCCCTGTTAACTTACCTACAAACTTTTATGATATTCTTATTATTATACTTTATTTAGTTAATTTATTTATTTTATTTATCAAGTTAATTAATATTTAAGTTAATAATATGATCATAGGTATAGTTTTCTTAACCTTCATAGGTTATCGTAAAAAATATATATGTAAATAAACAAAAATAAAAAATATAAAGGTAGACAGGTTTTAACCTTTAAAGGCTATCGTAAAAAATAAAAATTTTTTGAAAAAAAGAACTTAAAATTTTAGAAAAGATACTATGAATTTAAGGAAAGAAAAACTCGCTTGTACAAAAATACATAAAATAAAAACACATAAATTAAGTATACATATGAAACGAAAAATATAAAGCAATCATAACATAAAATTTTTATAATGTCTAAAGTAAAAGATGATTGTGGGGCGATTAAAATTTGTCAGTTAAGTAAGGAATGCAATTTAACAGAGGATAGAACTTTAAAGAAAATCAAAATATGTACCATGACATTAAATTTAAAATTAAAGATTTAGACAAAATAGATGAGATAATAAAAATAAGTGAGTTATAAACGATCGACTCAAATATTATTTCTCAAAAGGCTATTGACTAGATACGTTAGGCTTGTAATGAACCAAAATCTAAAGAAACCAATAAGATGTCAGACGAGAAACAGATTAGCAAATACGAATAGAAAATTGGTACAATATGATAATAAATATGTTCAACAATGAACTTCATGACCACATTTTGACAGTCAAAGATATTACAGCCAAAACAACTACTATATACCTCGTCATTAGAATTATAATAGATACAATAATCAAAACATATTCGATACTTACTACAGATCTTATACCAACAATTTAGAAATTACCCAAGACAAGAAAATAATAATCACAGATTCAATCAATACAGCGACAACAGAAAATTTAACAACAATTACAGACAATACAATG